ATGTTGCTTCGCTCACTAGGTCCCCGTTCATTGAGCCGGCTGTGGCTGTCTCATGTTAACATAATTAACCACTGTTGCATGGTGAGACAGTCACAGCTGGCTCCCCTGGTGATGTACTTGTCGATGTTCATGTCGGTTTTGGTGGTGGTCATGGTGACTATGTGCTTCTTGATGATGGAGCTGGCTCTGGCCGTCTCAGACTTGACGTTTACCAATTGATGTTGCACCGCTGGAACTGTCAATGATCATCTTACATTGACATCCGTAGGAAGGCACCTTGCAACATGTCGTTCGCAGGCTCACTTGCTACACTACCCTTGATCGACCGCATGCTCGTTCCTTGCATCACCTGGATTACTTACCGATAAATGTTGAGCTGATGGACCTGTTGATGAGTCTACTGATATCCGTGGGAGACTGCTTGATGGGTTTCGTTGGATGGAGCCGGCTGTGGCCATCTCAATGACTGATCACTTGAACTACCTGAGACAGCCACAGCTGGCTCCCCTAGCTAGTCACTTTCTAATCGTCTATACCGTCAAGTCTGGGCTACTACTTCTTGATCCTTGCTGCACCGTTTCCTGTTGGTCAACTATCTCCCGTTACATTGAGCCACCTCGTGGGTGTCTGAGGACACTTGGATGCTTCGCGTGTTGGATTAAAGGGCGTCAGCTGTTGCAGTACCTTTACTAAATAATGCTGCACCGTTGAGACTAAGGATCCCTAGGGGTGAGCCAACTTGTTGCTGTCTCAGGTGAATTACACGTTATGACCACCGTTAGACTGATTCACAGGTCGCTTTGCTTACTAATCGATGTTGTAGTCTCACTGGGGTCGGGGGTGAGACGGCCATAGTCGACCCCGACCCCTGACAGGGGAGTGCCGTTAGAGAATGATGACCACTTTGACCCCTGCTAATTATGGAAGTGACCTTTACGTTATTAATCCCTGCTACATCGTTGAAGTTGAATCGAGGCTGAACCCTATTAATCCTAGTAGCCTCATCAGTTATACTCAACCTGTTGCTTGTGACAGCCACAGCTGGCTCCCCGCTGGTTATTAATCATTGCTGCATGGAGCTGGCTGTGGCTGTCTCTACGACTACCAATCAGAGCTGTATCACTCATTGATCCCTGCTGCTGAATCCTGGAAGTGACTGTTGCAGGTCACCTGATGAATACTGAAGTGACCTCTACGTTGAACCCTGTTAATCCTTAAATCCTGAATCACAGATGAGCCAGCTGTTGCTGTCTCAATGACTTCGATGCGCTAGAGTCCTGTCTTACAAATGCGACTGCACGATGTCGTTTCTTTACGATTGAGCACGCTCTTGCTCCTCTCCATCCCCTTAAGGGGACCCCTTGAGAGAGGAGCCTGCGCTAACACTCGATCTCCACTGTACTGGATGGATTAGCTAGGATTGACTACATCACTTATGAATTATAGTTGCACAGTGTCAAGGGCACTTCGGTGGGTCGCTTAGCTTATTAATGAGGATTACGCTGTCCTGTACAATGTCGCTTCGCTTCTAACGTTCGGGGGCACGCTACGGGGCCCTTTGGTGGTCAGTAAGTTGCAACTTATTGTCCTCCCTCCCCTTCGGGGGCCCTTCCGGACAAACCCTGCAAGACCACCTCTCTTAAACCCCTCCGCTAATACCCCCTCACTCTTCTTTACTGATTGACCCTCTCACCTTCGATGATGATCCTGTTGATCAGCGTTGCTCCGTTGACCCTAATTTTAGCTCATTTCGGGGATAAAGGCAAGGTCCTTGGGTCCGATGTTATTTTAGGTCGATTTGGGGGTCAATTGGGTCATTCAGACATGAATCTGGGTCCTGGGTGTCAAGGAGCCTTCGAATCGGATGGTACTTGGTAGGGTGGTTTTAGGGGTCCGATCCATCCGGGGGCTCATTTCTGATGTTGCGCCTGACACTGGATCCCTCGATTTCATGTAGGGGCCATCTTCAATTGCAGCTGACTTGGGTGAGGTGTTCCCCACCAATAAATGGCCTAATCCATGAAATGGGGGTGCCACCCTCTGATTCTGGACTTCGGAGGGGTCGATTGGGGGTCCGGGCCTTATTTCAATTGGGTCATTAAGTGGGCCTCTTTTTGACCTCCATAGACGCTGAAATCAGAAATGGCCCATTTCGACTCTGGACCCTCTGGACCCCTGACCTGACCTGAGGGACCTCTGAAATAGGTCATACGGAGGGCATGGGCTGAGTTGATGGGTTAAATGGCCCATTTCAAATAGAAATGAGTCAATTCAACAGGAGCCAGCTTGAATCTCAGCACCTACTCATTCAGGGTGGCACGTTCTGAGTCAGCTGTGGCTGTCTTGAGTGACTTTGATGTAATTAACTCGCTTCAGGAGGGGTCTGCACAGGGTCGTTCACTACGGGGCCACGCTCCATCCAACCGCCCCCCATGCAAGTTGCAGTTCATAGTCCCATCACCCCAACATGTTGGGGTCCAGGGAGATCACTGCGAAGAGGGGCGCTGTGACTAACGTTCTGCAAGGGGGACTTCTTTGACTTACGCTAACACCCCCCTGCGTTCACTTGACTAGGTTGCGGGTGGTTGAACACATGCAGATTAAGGCTGCGGAGGAGTACAATTGCATACAACCAGGGACAGGGAGCCACGGTCTCTCATTTGCTTAACTCAGATTCCACCCTAGATTTGTCCCATACGACTGCTGCGGGTGGCTTAGGGGGATACTCTTTCAGGGCATCATCTCATCATTGCTGCTACCTCTCGGGGTGGGTGGCGGGGGTGGGGTGGCGTTTGGGGTGAGGGTCCTCTACTGAGGGATGGGTAATCCAAGGCCTTGCAAGGGCTGCTTAGTGGGCCAGTCTTAGCGTAGGGAGAAGGAGTGGGCCCTTGCATGAGTGGTCTGCGGGCATTGATGGTAGTCAATGGGAGCAGATCATGATTGCAACTTGTAGGGCCCACAGTCGACCGGAGCGTGCTGGACACAGGGGTGCTCGGTGCGAACGGTGGTGGTGATGGCTTCCTGTTGGAGGTGGGGTTCTGGTTCTGCGTGGTGCTTGCTGGGTCAGTGGTGGGCGTTTGCTTCGACGGTTGTCATTGGGTGGCTCTTGTCGTGAGGTGAGGCTTGTCCTCTGGCGTGGGGGGTTGCTGGGTGGTGGGTGTCGGGGTGGGCGTCTGGTGCTTGCTTGGTGGGTGCTGGGTGGGGCTGGGGTGCTGCTGGGGCGTGGCGTTGGGTAGGATGGGCAATTAGGAGGGGCGTTCGTCAAGTGGTAGGGGTACTCCCTGCTGCAGGTGCAGGCTCTGCGCTGGGTCTTCAGGGTGTTGCGACGGTTGGTACGATTGCGTAGACTGGAGGGGGCGAGCATGCTGGCTGGGTGCAACGTCAGGGAGGTTCAGGCCGTGGGGTGCGGAATAATCGCCACTTCTGGTCGGGTGTGGTGGCTTGGGGGGAGTCGTTGCTCGTGGCATCGATCGGGGTGTTTGCGTCTTCCATGAGGGGGGCGTCTCGGTGGGGCGTGGGGTGGGCTGCCCCCTCCGTGGCTTCGAGGCTGCTGTCCTGAGGTATCAACACGGTTTCAACTGCTCCAGCGTGGGTGGTGGTCGTGGGTGCTGATGGAGGTGCGTTCCTGGATCTTGGGTCACTTGAGGTACTGCTGTGGCTGCTCTTCTTGGAGGGTGGGCGAGGTGGTGCTGGCGTTTCCTGTGGATCACGAAGCGCGTGGCGGAACATCATGATGAGGGAGAACAGGTGTTCTAGGGGTGATGAGCACCAAGGCTCATCAGGACCAAGACCATATGACACATCAGACAGCGGGCGAGGGAGGAGGCGACAGGATCGGAAGTAGAGTGAACAGAACAGCCAGGTGGGTGATCCTCTGCGGCGGGCTGTGGTTGAGTTTACTGGGGGATGGGGGTAGGGGAGGCGGATCGCTTGGTACCGGGCCAGGAGGCTCAGGTGGGTCATCATCACGGCTGTAGGTTTGAGGCGTCCCTGGTTTGGGATGACTGAGGGCTGGGTGGTGGGGGCTGCTAGAGATTGGTCACGTATCATATCGGTGGTGGTGGCGGAGTGGGAGGACCTTGACCTTGGCGGGGCTGGGGAACGAACTAGAGGAAGCATGCTTAGCTGGCACTATCTGGACCCCGGCTTGACTGCAGTTTGCTTGCGGATCTCCGACTAGTGGTATATCATGGGACGGGCCGCTTCCATGAGGGGGGTTGACCTGGGCTGGAGTCGATAACGCGTGAAACCTTCTGGCTGCTGTGGCGTACTGGCTTCGTGCTGTGCGTTTCTGTGTGTTGAGGTGGGGTGGATTGCCCGTTGGGAGTGTAGGGGAAGGGCGGCATGAGGATAGAGGGGAGTGAACTAGCTTCAGACGGGTAGGCCCTACGCAGTGAACGGATGGACTGGAAGCTCTGCTGGCTACCTGAACTTGTTCTTCACCATCATGATAGCTTGGGCGCTAAGGACCTTGGATCTGAACCATCACGGAACTGCTCTTCAGAGTGTGTCTGGCCTCATCTGTGATGGGTGTCTGGGATGTGGTGGTGAGGTGAGGGGGTTACGCGTATAAGGCTCGTTGCTGTGGCGGACGCTCGAAAGGGTAGCAGTCGTGGGAGCACCACGTGAATCATGCTAGCAAAACTGCCCTCATTGGTAACAGGGGGGGAAGGGGCTTCGGCCTGGTGGGGTGCGGGCTTCCATGCGGGGATCGGGGGCAATGGGCCTGTGAGCTGCCACTCGAGCGGTGTGGGTGCTGGTGGATGTTCACGTGTCGGCGTTCATGGTTACAGGCATGCGCGACGTGTGTTCTCTTCGTTTGGGTGGTGTTGAGGTCTCTGCTGCTCTTGCTCCAGAGGTGGGTGGGGGTGCTGGTAGCCTGTGTGCTGTTCATGTTGCCTTTGTTGGCTGGCGTTCTGGATGTCCTTCCGCTGGAGGTGGCAACAACCCTTCGGGGCGCTGGTGGTGGCGGCGTAGGTTGATCGGGTGTGTTGTGCGTTTGCTGTCTGGTGTAGGTGGAACATCTCTGTCTCTGGTGCGGAGGAAGGGGGTTCGAGTCCCTCGGCAGTTGTGGGAGAGTGGAGGTTCAGTCAGAGGTGGTGTTAGCGTAGGGAGAAGGAGGTGGACCGCAAGACCCCCGATTGGTGCGAGGGTGTTGCAGCTTTGAGGGCCACTGGTCGACCGAGCGTGCCACCCGAGACTGGACCAGAACATGGGTGGGTGATACGTAGGGGGAGGCTGTGAGAGACTGCTCGATGGGTTTTGGTGGTGACTGCCGGTGCTACATCATGGACTTTGGGTACTGTTTGGTTGACTGACTCAACTAGAGATTGACATTGAACCGCCCGATGAACCTGCTTGGGGATGACCTACTGATCGTGTAGAGAGACTGCTGCTTCATGGACTTTGGGTATCGCATCAGGACTACCTGTTGATCGCTGCTGCACTGGGTGATCAACCTGGTGATGGTCTTGCCTAGACATCCGTAGGGGACCTTGCACAGTGTTGTACCGTTACGATCAGCATGCTCCACTACCTCACCTCCCGGGAGCGGGGCCCCAAGGGTGAGGTTGTTGCGCTTACACTGATCTACACTGTACTTGCTAGTTCCCTAACAATTCTGGTTGAACGGACGAGGCTTGATGGTCAAGAATCCCTTAGGAGATCATTACCTACCCCTCAGTGAAGCTTAAGGATTTTAGAGATCTTATATGGTAAGATGTTCTGCAGTAGGCCAGCCTTGGTGACCTTATTCTGGATGCTGGTAAATTTGGCGAATGCTTGCCACAAGGCGGACATGTCCTTAGTATTGTGGTCTGTGCTTAAGACTTGAGGGCAGCCAACCTAGGTGTATACCCAGGAGTTGGAGAGATCCGGCAGGGTTTGCGCTGTCCACCCCTAAACAGTCTGGTTTGATGAACTGACATAAATCGGCGCTCTATGATTGCGAGAGAAAAACGAGTAAAACAAGCTGTGTCTGTGCTTGGTAAAAAGCCATCACCAGGATATTGAGGTAGGCTTCCGGAAGTGCTGGAGAGGGTGGAGGAGCCCCAGCAGTTTCAGAAAGGAAGTAAAGGTATGATTTGGGGAAAAGAGTCTGACTGAGGAGCACAGATTGGTCCTTCATTACTATGTACCATGAAGATGGGATCTACAGGACAAAGTCACCATAAGGTCAGAGGTTAGCGCAACACGTGAAGTCCAAAGAATGGCATTGGCAATCGCATGACCCTTTGCTCCCACGCTCTAAGTCAATTACAATAATTCATCCCACATTGTAACCGGAGGGAAACCAGGATAAAACTGACTTAAAAAAGGAGGGATATTGATTACATCAGGACGAGCATGATCTGGAAGAAAAAGGGATGACAAAGCAGAGGCAGCAGTTGTACAGGTGGCCCGTAGTCCGAATGATTTTGGAATTGCGATGGCGTCAAATCGTTCCTGGCATTAAGTGCACTTGGGGGCATATTGAGGCGTGCAAGAGAGAAGGTCTGCAATGGTGTTGGATCTTTTCGGCAAGTAGTTTGTCTTCGACTTTTCGTGTTGCGTATGACCTTCTTAGGTTTTGAGTAGATTAGGACATTGTCAAGATAGGAGATGACAAACATTTAACAGAGGCAGGAGGAGTCCATGAAGCTTTGGAATAGGCTAGGGCTTTCGACACACCGAGCAGCAGGAAAAGGAACTTGAAGTGGGCGTATCTGGTTCCGATTGCTGTTTTCTCACTAGTGTAGTCGGCAACCAGGGTTGAATTTCACCCTTGATGTCTACAAGGGTGAAGTAACTGGCTTAAGCTAGTCGGTTGAGGATTCCGACCAGGACAGGTAGTGATGTCAGATCTTGCTCGGTGACAGAGTTGAGGCCCCAATTGTCAAGGCATAGTCGTACGCCAGAGTGTTTCATTTAGGCGAAAATGATGGTTTGTCCCCAGGTCAATCGAGCAGGTAGTTGTCAACCTGTTTCTCCAAATTTTTGCCCACATCTTGAATGAGCTGGCAAAGCAGGTAGAATTTTAGCTGAGCGTTTTCAAGGTGTTTGAGCGAGAAGTGGTGCTTTACTCGATCAGCTGGTAGACCGAAATTTTTACTTGAGTAGTGTTTATTAACTATTTGTTGATCAGTTATTTGTGGAGACTGACATGTCTATTTGATACAATATAGATTGTCATTTTCAAGTTGTTGTGATGGAGGAGCTCTGTTAGGGTGGTGAGACTGGTAGCAAGGATTTCAACAATATTCAGGATTTTGGGGCAATAATACTTTGATTCTGGGAGTAGAGATGTTTCCCATCCGCAGATGACCAGTTTAGACGGAATGCTGAATATCTGCTTTGATGTTCAAATTCTATAGCTGGTCTTGTGGCACCGTGAGGCCAAGCTGTATTGAGTCATTGGAACTGCTTGGCCAGAGGGAGGCTGAGGAGAAGCTCATGTCTGATGGAGGTTAAGACAAAAGGTAGGGCCTTGATATTGGCTTCGTTCTTCACCGGCACCTAAGAAAATATGAGCTCAAGGTCAAAAAGTCCAAGGAGGGGTCCTGATTCGTTAGGTTCTATGCTCTGAATGAGCAAATGCATATTTCACAGGTGCAGAAAGGAGCCCAGATGATGGACAAATTGTGAGACTGCTCCTGGGACCTATCAACAACAACAGCTTGAATTTTCGAAGGCGCCAGTGAAGGACTCTACTTTGCTGGTATGTAAGAAACGAATCGGCGGAAATCAAGTTAATGACAAAATTGATGAAGCTACCCTCACTCCATTCATTGAATAACCTATGGAGCCCCTTTTTTTCGATACTCATGTCATGCGTGCCTGCTTCAATGGTCGCGTTGCAAGAATCCTCATAGTCTGAGGATGCAACAAGCTAGAAATATGCAACCTCTTCATTACCAAGCACTGCTTTGGCAAAGTCAAGTCCTCCCGACTTCTTCAGATCCACCTAGCTGCTTGAGGGGAATTAACACAATCCACATGCATAACTCGCTTGATGACAGAGTTCAGACCTTAATGGTGATTAGTCAGGGCATAGGCGTACATTGCCGTCTTCGTTCTTGGCGAATCAAAAGGTTGCTCCCAGAATGACCCAGAGTGCCAGATCCATTCTCTTTGCGGTAATTGTGTATCTGCTTCGTGTTCTCTCTGAGGTCCTCTTGAGCAAGCAGACCAAGCTGGTAGCATCTCGTTAAAGTGTTCTTGAGGAGTTCCAGCAAGTTATTGTGTTTCCCTTGGTTTTGTGGAAGGCCAACATTTGACTGAAACATGGTTGTTTCGTCGTATTTCATGTTGAGTTTTTTGAGGAAGCCTTCTTGTCTGTTTGTAGTAGCGTCTTCCCTCTGCTTCGGGTTGATCTGGTCAAGTAGCTCATGAGGGGTGGGGGATCGAGTTGTATTGACTTTGACAACGTTCAGCTTGTCAGGGTTGTGCCCTGGGATGCATTCGATGACGTATTTGATTTTCCAGCGCAGCCGAGCCTTAAGGAACCAGTTGGGTTTCACCTCTATGGTGCCTAAGGTTAGAGAAAATTGAGGGGTTTTATGTTCAGAGCTGAAGTTGATGGCAAAGATTAGAGTGCAGGGTTGATACACAACACTTCTCTGATTCTGGGAGAAGCGTTGTTTCGCAATGCCGGAGGACTGGCTGTGATTGACTCCTGAACTTTTGGTATTGACGCTCGAATTCTATTGACAGTCTCATGGCACCATGAAGCCAAGCAGTTTTGAGTCTGTGTAACTGTTAGCTAGAAGAAGAATGAGAAATATATGGTATCAAATGGAGGTCCCCTGAGCTCGTGTTAGCACCTGTGTAATTGGCGCATCTGTCTGGGGTCTCCATTTCCAAGATGAAGATTCACAGCAAGGTCCTGGATCCCTGGCTGGTGCGCTCATTTGTTGTAGCCCTGAAAATCCACCTTTGAAGAGGGCTGCCCATGTTCTGCCAAAGGAGGGAGCAGCCGCGTACCAGGTACTAATTGCGTGTTCTCTTTGTCAACAAGTACCTCCTTGACAGTTTCCTCGAGATCTTGCCCCTCAAGGACGTCCACCTCCTCATCCGCAATGAACGCCTCCTCCTTTGCCGGTGCTCCTGTATGCACCTCCACAACACCAGTAAGCTGCGGCAGGGTGTTTCATGAAAATGTTTGTGCTGGGCTGTCCACGAGCAGGGTAGGGATGCAATGTAAGTGACGGCATGAAAAAAGGGTTGCCGCAGCCAGCTGGAATGGGGCTTGGCCGGCACATGCAGAAGCAGCAGGTGTGGCGCAAGGAAAAGGGAAGGCATATGAACGCCTGGCCGGTGCCCATTCCACAAGGACTGTTCCATATTGAATGGACTGCCGCAGTAGTTTGGAAGAGGGTGCAAAAATGATAGCCTAAGAAGTGCTGCATAGGAATGTGAGATACTGAGCCAGACCAGGGTGTCTGCGGATTTGAAGTGGCTCTCAGCGTGGTTGTGTTCTTTTTGGTGAGGGCCAGTTTACAAATCTGGGGGTCAACAGGGTAGCTGATTGTTTGATGAAAGTGCCGAGGAATTCCTAGCTGTGTTCTGGTTGTTTGGTTCTGCACAATGAATTGGTCAATAGCGGGGCAAATGGTAGGATTCTTCATCATTCCAGCTTTGTAGGAGTTAGTCTAGTCAGTGTCCGTGATTGGGGACTCGACTGTGTACTGGACTGCGAAATGAGTCTGGTTGAGAAGACGGTTGAACTGGCTGATGTATTATGATAAGCTGGCTCCAAAGGCAAGGTTGGCAAGTTCAAGCTTGAAATCGTTGACTACTTCCTTGTGGGAGCGGTGGTTTGCAAAGGCGGTGAGGTGGATAGGCGACAAAGTTATATTTTGCGTGTATCCATGGGATACCAAGAGATGCTCCTGCAGGAGGGGCAATAGACTTGCTGTATTTTTTCCCCTGGTTGGTGAAACATGTCTTGCAAGACCAAATCAGGAATGCATCAATGTAGTGGCAGACGTCCTGTTTGGTTAGAGGGTGGACTGTAGGCTTCGGCAGTCAATTGGCTGTCTGGGCTGCAATGAGTGCCGTTTTATAGAGGGCAATCAGCTTCAGGATTGTTCC